CCTCATACTATAAACAAAGCAACTCAAAATTATCACAGACCTAAATATAAGAGCTAAAACTATAAAATTCTTATAAGAAAACATATATGCAAATCTTCTTGACTCTGGATTAGACAACGGCTTCTTAGAGACAACACCAAAAGCACAAGTGACAAGAGAAAACATAAACTGGACTATAACAAAATTAAAACCTTCTGTGCTTTAAAGGACACTATCAAGAAAGTGAAAAGACACATACATATGGTGACTGACAAATAATAATGTACAACTGAAATTTCACAATGTTATAAACTATTACGACCTCAAAAAACAAAAAATGAAAAGACAAGCCACTGCAGGATAAAACATTTGCAAATTATTTGTCTGACTTGTATCCAGAATACATAAAGAAATCTTACAACTCAACAATAGAAAGACAACCTAAACGAAAAACGGGAGAAGTATTTGAATAGACATTTCTCTAAATAAGATGGACAAACGGCCAAGAAGCACATGAAAAGATACTCAATACCATTAGTCATTAGGGAAATGCAAGTAAAAACTAGGAGATGCCACTTCACTACGATGGCTATAATAAAAAAGACAAACAATAACAAGTGTTGATGACAATGTAGAGAAATGGGACTGACACATTGCCAGTAGAAACGTAAAATGGTACAACCACTTGAAAACAGTCAGGAAGTTCCTTAAAGGTTAAACACAGAGTTACCATACGACCCAGCAATTCCACTCCTAGGTATATACCCAAGAGAAATGAAAACTTAACTCCACATAAGAACTTGTACACAAATGTTCATAGCAGCATATTTCATAATAGCAAAAAAGGTGGAAATAACCTAAATATCCATCAATAAATGAGTGGATAAACCTAAGCAAAATGTAATATATCCATACAATGAAATATTGATTATTCAGCCACAAAAGGGAATGAAGTACTGATACATGCTACAACATGGGTAAACCTTGAAAACATAATGCTAAGTTCACAAAGCTAGACACAAAACGTCATATATCATATGACTCCATTTATATGAAATGTACAGAAAAGGCAAATCCACAGAGACAAAGCGAAGTAGCAGTTGTCAGGAACTGGGGCAAAGGGAAATGACTGCTAACGGGTACAGGGTCTCTTTCGGGGGTGATGAAAATGTTCTGTATAGTGGTGATGGTTACACAACTCTGTGAATACACTAAAAACCAAAAAATTGTCTACTTTAATAGAGTGATTTTTATGGTATATAAAATAAACCTCAAAGAAGGTGTTATAAAAAAAATTAAGTTAAGAAAAAGCTGGAAAGATATGCAACTGATTTCCAACACCTTATCCATCCAAATATTTTTTTATTTATGTGAATTTAATCCACATAAAAATTTAACTTACCAAAGTATGGAAAAAAAAATTGTGTTGGTTGAGGAGGAGGTGGGACAATTTGGCCTCAATATATGAACTGTAAAAATAAAGGAAATTAGTTTCTTCATTACTAAAAAGTTGAATTCACTAGGAAGCTGAAAAATTATTAACTTTACAGTCAATTTACCTGATCAACCTCCATTTTAAAATTCAAACGGATTGCTCACGTCAAAAATTTCATCTCAACCAAAATACACCACCTTGCAAGAAATCAAAGAATGCTTACTGATCCAGATTTCTCAAATGCTGAAATCACTAATATAATTCTATGAAAGTGCCTCTTAGAAATGCAAGTAGCCTAAGTAAAATGCCTAGTATTTCTGGAAAGTTTAACAGACTAATTTTAGCTTCAATTATGCTAAAAAGGTTTCTGAAGCTTAAAAAAAAGTTTTCTTGTAAACTACTTTCTAAAAGTCAGTCAATTCCAAGGGAAAAAAATATTCTGATGAACTGAAGGAAGAGGACAAGTTTTCAGACAGATGCAGTAGATAAATCAAGATGGTTTACTGCTGAGAGACTACGTATCCATAAAATACCAGGACTCCTACTCACACACACAACACAACAGAAACACACACACCTATTTTCCAACTACATTAGCATCCACCTTAGTACTACATAATTACATGAATTATTCTTGGTATACAAAAATACCACGGACCAGCTTGTTTGTGTTTTCTTCCAACAGTGTTGACAGGTAGCAGTGAATCACACATTCTCTTGAGTCGCATTTGCCTCATGATCAGTGACACATGCCGCCAACATCCGAGGTTAAGGATGCAAACTGAGACTACAGATTATTTTCTCCTTCCCATGATGCTGTTACCTATATACACATATGGAATGACCACCCTTGGTGTCACTAGTGCCAAACTCAATGGAAGTAATTGTCCCAGACTCAAATCTGAAGTAAACTATGGAACTGTCATACTTTTATTTGAATAACAAGACATAACCACTATCAAAATGTTGAGCATCTTCTACAAGAAGAGAACTAAGCTGATAATTAACACACTGACTAAAAAAAAATTTTTGAGAGAGTCACAATTTCAAATATTTTGTCTCATAAATCATCAAAGTCCCAGAAACTACAATACATAGAAAAGTACAAACTGATGTCCTGGAATACTTTTATAACCAAAAATACTTTGGCAGACCATGTATCCATATTTTCAGTGCTGAATATATGGTCTCCATAGATACAGGGTTCAAGTTTCATACTTATTTTTCAGAGTCTGAAAAATCTAATTGGGAATCAGAATAAAAACATAAAAGAAGACAAACTGAAATCCAGGCTAGCATATGCTAAGAAAAAAAAACAAGAAAACAGTCCCACCCAAGAGAGGAGTGAACAGACCCCTTGGGGCTGAAGTAGTCAAAAAAGCCTTCTCAAGAGACAGGACTTAACTAGGTCCAGAGTAAAGAGAGTATCCATGAATACAAACAGAAAAAGGCTTCAAACAAAAAGAAGGGCATAAAGAAAGGCCAAGAGGGGTGACTCAACAGGAACAACAAACAAGTCAGTCTGGCTGAAACTAAGGATTCACAAAGGGAAGAAATAAAGAGTTAAGACTGAAGAATGGATCACGGCCAGATTATAGAGGAACCTGAATACCACACCAAAGAGCTTAAACTATACTTTGCATGTAATAAAGAATGTCCTGGAAGTTTTTATGCTGTGATGTGAGGAGGTGAGAGTATTAAAATGTGCAAGGTATTATTTACTCAAAGCATAAGCAGAGCACAAATATTTCAACTGAAACACCCCATTACTGAGAGACAAAGTATTCAAAGCCCAGGTAAAAGGGCTTATTATTGGTGGAGGAGGGACTCCAGCAGCAATGCTCAAATAATACATTGAACCAAATTAAATAAAAAGTTACAATGGTCTACTTTTGCAACTCCCATATATTTAAAGTTTCCATTTATTATAAAAGCAATATAAGTATAAAGCACATTGAACAGTTCTCACTACATCAATTACACGAGGTAATTTATGTCAAACATTGTACAAGAGGATTGTGAGCTCCAGAACTACGTTAATCCTCAGACTTTAAATGTGATATGCCATAACTCTTATCAGTGCACAGAGCAGGATCAAAGCCACATTACCATGAATGAGTTCATCATACTATCCCAAGCACATTTCAAGAGTAAACAAATGGGTGTCTCAATGCTCTGAAGCATTAATAAAAGGTGCTGAAACATTTACAGAAATAAAAATCCCTCATGATAATCTAATATCCTCCCTAAAGATTAATATGTGTCATCACTGTCCTCTTAGTCCCCCTACAGCCCAATAAACACGTTAGGAAATTTTAGTAAAAGGAGACGACTGCATATCTCGTAAGATTCAAAAATCAAGGGGAGCAGGGTTCTAAATTTCTTTAGAATCATCTCACTTAATAATAATAACCAAGAGGAGAGATCCAGCTTTATTTTTCACATAGTTTAGATGACTTTCCCAAGGCCCTTGGCACAAGCCAAGATCAAAATTCCTTATGGTTTTCCCTGGCTTATGGTTTGTACACTGAGTCATCCATATTTGAGCAAAACAGGGGTACCCCTGAGGTCGCACAAGTGATAAAGAACAGAACAACCACTCATTATATCACGTTTCCAAGAGCTAAAGATTTCTCTTCAACTGTGTTCACAAAACAGTATTTTCTGTATACTAAATCTGTTGACAACCTACAGATCAAACGGTGAGCAAATAAACCAAAATATCGGGTAGAGGAGACGGCGTTTAACCTGACAGTCTATGGAGTTACGGAAACGGGGGATCAGTTGACTGATACTCAAAATTCTGAGCAAGAAAATTTCAAAACACAAGTGTATCTCAAAGATAATGGGCCAGTTCAAACTTCCAGACTGAACCTAAACTGCCCGCCCCTTGTGCTTAACGCAAGCATTCATTACAGTCCTTTTGTCTGTGAAATGACCCACAGCAAGCCACAGGGGAGAAAATAAGACACTTGCACTGAACTGAACAATCGTTATTGCCAGCGAGAGGGGCAATCTTTCCACTAGTTCCGGCTCCTCCTTCCCAGCCCACCCCCGGTGCCCCCCACCTTTATTCTCTTAAACAGAAATGGCAACAACGGGAGGCCACCGCGGGAGGCGGAGAGGAAACGGCCAAGGGACCGAAATACAAGTTTGGAGACCAGCACCAACTTGTGGCGATGAACCCAAGTGTTTAGGGCCTAATGCAGAGTGGGAGCGAAATCCCACTCACCCGCTCGTAGGTGGCAGGAAAAGAAGTCGGGGGCGGGGCGAGGAATCTGGCGGAAGAAAGGTAACAGGGCAGGCGGCGCGTCCAGCCGCGCCTGATCGACGGCCGGTAAACAAGCGGGGAGGACCCACCCTCCCACAGCCCCGGGCCTATCCTCGCACCGGGAAAACTCAAGATGGAAGCGCGGCGGCGGCAGACCGTGCCCCTCCCCTCGCCTGCGACGCCGCCCCAGGGGGCGCGGGCAGGCGGCCCCGGAGACCCGGCCGCCTGAGCGCCGCCTGGGAGCTAGGGGCCGGGCAGGCCGCGGCGGGAGCCGCGAGGGGCCTGCGGGAGGGCGCCCTCCCGGGACCAGGTTACCTGGCGGCGGCAGCTCCTCCTCCAGCTCCTGCTCCTCCTACCCGTCCGACGCTCGGCGCCCGGCGGCGGCGGCGGCGGCGGCGGCGACTCCCCGAGCAGCCCGCGGCGACGAGCCGAGCCCGGCCCCTCTCCGCCTCCCTCCGCGCCGCCGCCCGCCCCGCTGCTGCCGCCTCCGCCCTCTCCCCTCAGTCAGGACATGGTCTCCGCGGGCCCGCGCGCGGCTCCCGGGTGCCGGAGGCGGGGGCAGAGGGGCGGAGAGCAGGCGCGGAGGCGGGGGGGCGCCGGGGGGCGGGGGGAGAGACCAGAGGAGGCGGCCTCGGGCGCTGCGGGATCCTAATGGCGACGGTGAGGGGCCCCGAAGCCAAATAAACCCCACGGCGAGCAGCACAACGTCAAGACTGGACCTCGCCGCTCGGCGCCCTATCATTGGCCCCGAGGTCGCCAGCGGCGCAGCCAATGGGCGGCCGTCTCTTTCAGGGCGCAGGAGGCGGGCCGCAGAAAGGTGACGTCACGCCGGCGCCCGGCCCTATTGTGAGGCGGTGGCGCGTCGGCGCCGCGCCCCGCCCCGTGTGCGGCGTCCGGGCTGCGGGCCTTCGGCGACGTGCTGGGGACGCTGGGAGGTGACGGGGCGGCGTGGTGTGCGCCGGGCTGGGAGGCCCGGAGGGGGTCGTCTGGGCGGCCCGTTTCGCTTTGCCTCTTGTGTGCAATGGAGTCCCCGGGCTCCTAAGGCAGCCCTGAGTCTCATGTCCCCGTCTCTCCACATTTACTTAGGACAGATTCTGCTTCACTCTTTCTTATACGCTTTCAAACTTTTTTTTTTAAATATATATATTTTTTAAGATTTTTTTTTTTTTGCTTTTTCTCCCCAAAGCCCCCCGGTACGTAGTTGTATATTCTTCGTTGTGGGTCCTTCTAGTTGTGGCATGTGGGACGCTGCCTCAGCGTGGTTTGATGAGCAGTGCCATGTCCGCGCCCAGGATTGGAGCCAAGAAACACTGGGCCGCCTGCAGCGGAGCGTGCGAACTTAACCACTTGGCCATGGGGCCAGCCCCGCAAACTCTTTATAAGACACCGAAGAAGATAAATGTTTAGGTTGTTCGTGATACTTTTTCATATATCTATTTTAATGTCTTATTTTTTCCTCCTGCCTTGGAGGCAGCTATCCATTTATGTGTGTATGTGTATTTATATATATTACATGTATGCATACGTACATGCATGGTGAAAAGCCGTGGAGTTATATGCCAATTATATTTCAATAAAGTAATATTTTTTTAAGCAAAAAAAAGCCAGGGAGACTTTGCTTTTCGTTCTCTTCTACTGCTTCCTAGCTCTAATTGTGGGCAAACGCAGCTTTCCTGTGGTTGCCTTTTCTGTAAATTGTAAATTTAAGGCAGAGGATAAATTACAGCTGTGGAAAAAATACTGCCAGGAGAATTCCCAGAGCCCAAGTTCTAAAGAGAATGTATGTGGTGATGTATTTTGTATATTTCTTTCTTTTACTTACCGTAAATGTAGCCAAATAGTGGGAGTCATTTAGCCATTTGCTAAAACCCCATAAGTGTGTCAGATTTTTCCACCTAGAGAGCTTTGTTTTTCCCAGTGAGACTTCACCTTGCGTTTTTCATACTTCAAATTTTTTATTTCAATAATTTAAAAAGCTACAAAACACAGCAACTCTTTAAAAGTTGTAATCCTCTTTAAAAGTTATCTGTAGGGCAGGCCTGGTGGCATGGTGGTGAAGTTTGTGCACCCCAGTTCATCGGCCTGGGTTTCGCAGGTTCAGTTCCTGGCCGTGGACCTAGCACCACTCATCAAGCCACACTGTGGCAGCATCCCACGTGCAAAATACAGGAAGATTCGCACAGATGTTAGCTCAGTGACCATCTTCCTCACAAAAATGAGTAAAAATAATAAAAGTTATCTGTTGAAGAATATAGCACCGTCAAAGGGCATTTATCAGTTGTATTGGACACCTCAGCTTCAATGAGAAGACTGTGTTTATTCAGAGGTTAATTGGATTTTGAAAACTTAGATGGAGACTTCATTTAGTAAAACTTCATGGTATTATTCTCAGTCTCTCTTTACATAAATATGACAAATGTGGATGTACAGCTTCACAATGGCCACTCAAGAATAACACCTATATAGCTTCCCCTCGCCAACAACCTCTCTCATTGGTATATTTTATCCTCATAGCCATTCCTTTGATATAAACATTTTCAATAATCCCTGTATTCCCAAAGCAACATTATTTGCTCAAGAACTTGCCAATAAGTTGAGTTTAAACTGCAATAGTCATTTGCCTACAAAACTTTACACACATCCTCAAACATATAATTAACACAATTTAGATAAAATTAAACACCACAGTATTGTGTAAGAACAAATGATTGAACGAACATTTTGCTTTGAAAATATCTTAAGTGCTGCTGAGCACCTCCAGCTTCCCCTTCCTGAAGCTCAGCTGCAAAGCATCTCACCTATAAGTTAACAAGAACCGCAGAATTTGCTGTTTTTGTTTAGTTGGAGTTGGAGTTTATTTTGTTAAGGGAGGGTGATAGCGTTTGGTTGAGGCTTATTAACTCTTCACTGAATTTAGCAAACGTAAAGTAAGTACCATGTACCAAGGAACAAGAAGCACACAAAAGATGAGTAAGACGCATTCTGTGTTTGAGGAAGCCACAGCCTGGAAAAGAGGACAAGACAAAAATAGCCATAATTATAATATGAGGTGGAATGTGCTAAGTAAATTCAAATGAAAATTATCAGCAAATCCAAAAATGACTCTGTTAAAGCTGGAAAGATACTTGATATCAGTCCAGGCCCTGGCTATGCATTAGAATTGCCTGAGGAGCTTTTTCAAAATACACATGTCTGGGCCCCACCCCAGCCCTATTGAGACTATCCCCAAGAGGAGAGCCTGGGCATGGCTATGTTTTAAACACACTCCCCGGGTGACTACAATGTGCAGCCAACTACTGACAGAGTCACACCCCCGCAGTTTGCAGATGTGGAAACTGATACGTAGAGATTTTAGGTGACTTAGCTAAAGCCAGACCATCTAGGTCTGGAATTAGGACACAAAGCTTCTGATTCCTCAGTCGAATCTTCTTTCCATTGCACCTTATTTGAGTAAAAAAGATGTCAACAAATGCGTAGAGAGCATTATCACGGTTAAGGACTTATTCATGCTGTTTGGCACAGAGATTAAGTTATCATTCTCCTTACATATATTTCTGAGAAATATTTCTGAGTTCTGAGAAATATTTCATTTGGGGAAAAAGGTATCCACTGTTTACAATAAAAAGTTCTTTTTCTTAGAACCCTTGTGTTAGAGTGTAGTGACAATACAGTTTTGTTGACAATTAATTTGTTTTGACTTTTATTTCGGGTGTTCCCCAAACTACTTGTAGAAGATAGAATGTCAATTTACTTTTTCTGCCAGACTGTGAAGGTCTTGAATGCCAAATCACGGATCTGTACTTAATTTCATTACTAGTAGAAAGCCATGGAAAGGTTTTGAGCAGGAAAGTGCCAGTAATAGAGCTATACCTTATCTTGGAATGTCTGTGGGACAAACTAGGGTAGAATTAGAAACAGGGACAGAGAAACTAAGAGAGAAGGACCAAAACCAAACTCGCTGTGGGAATGGAAAGGAGAAGGCAGGAGTGAAACGGGATGGTAGAAGGTTCAGGGGTTGCCAATGTCTGAATCTGGGACAAAAGAAAGAATCAAAAGTCAGAGAACTGTGAAGGCTAGTGGTGTGATTAATGGTGGGAAGCACGGAAGAGTGACTAAAGAAGAGGAGCTGTGGACTACGGATCAGGTACGCCGACCTCCTGATTCAGGGGGAAGGCAGGTCTGGAATTTGACAGACTGGAGCTGGAGATAAACGTCCTGGAGTTATCTATGTCAAATTGACAAGTGAAGCCACAGGATTGGGAAAGAAAAAGAAAAACCACCAAAGGAGGAGAAAAAGATGGGTCAGAAAGAAGATGGAAAAGGTGTTCTAGAAGCCAAGGGGCGGTGAGCCTCAAGAACGTGGTAATAAACAATGTCGTATTCCGCAGACTCAGAACAGAGAAACTCATTCTACAGAATGAGAACAGAGAAAAGGTCACTGGATTTGACAAACAAGAGGCTTTGTGACCTTCTAGAGAACAGTTCTCAGTAGGACGGTGGGGAGAAAAGCCAGATTTCAAAAGCTGAAGGCATGTGTGGGCATCGAAGCAGTGATTATAGTCTACCAGTCCAAGACATTTGGCAATCAATGAAAGGAGGGCAGGAGATAGAAGAATAGACAGAGGGAGGAACAAGAATGAGGAAAAGGGTCTGTTTTCCTATACATATTTTTTTAAAGAATGAGCATATCTGAGCACTTTTGTAAACTGAGGAAAGAAAGTGGATAGGGGAAAATAAATGATAGAAATCCAGGAGGGAGGTAAGCCAGAGCACAGTGATTTGTCTTGGCGAGCAGGGGGGCCCTTTCTTCCTCAGAAACAAGAGGAAAGGAAGACATGAAAAACAGAGCTGCGGAGAGATTCTGTTGGAGGGGTAGGGATGGAGTGGACTTCACATCCTTTCTCCTCCTGGGGGATTCCAGCACAGGTCACCTGCTAAGGGTTGGGCTGGGAGCTGGAGGAGAATGGAGGGACTTTGGGGCAAGGGTTGTGAGGAAGCAAACCAAGAAGAGTGAGGAAAAAACTGCAAGGAGCCACTTTCTCCAACAAGGTCCAGTGGTCCGGAGCCAGGCCTAGGACAGGGAGGCCAGACCGCAGAGGCTACCTAGAGGTGGACATGTCCAAACAAAGAAAGTTAAAGGCATTTGCTGAAGGAAATGACAATAGGTCCAGCTTAATTAGAGTCTGTTGGGGGATCTGTGCTTTTATGAAGCAAGTTTTATAAAACTGGTGAGCTCCCTTCAAAAGAATGCTAGAAAGTTCAACTGTTACAAGAACAAATTCTCAGCCATATTGCAGAAAATGTCAGTTGTATAAACTGCAAAATATCTTCCACTTACTATTTATGATCAACATGATTCCTCAGTGGAGAAACCTCATTATGGTAGAAAGTACAATATAATAATACTGCCTGGTCCATTCTCATGCAATAAATGACACTGTTTTGTGGAACATAGGATCATCCTGTGACCCGTCTAGACACCAACCACAGTCTTGCCTGGGGCAAAGTATGTGTGTCGGGCATCAGATAGAATACAGCTCGTTTGACTTACCCCAGTGGTGGTCTGTGCTAGGACTATTCTCATCTCCATGGATAGGAATTTATGTTCCTA